TATTCATGTGAAGTGTAGCTCATCTGCATTTTTCTTTCCCTGGAACCTAAATGTATATTATGAATTTGAATCCATCAGAAACTAAGTCAGTCAAAATCAAATTTAACTACATACGAAGTGAAAACGATTTGTAATTCGCAAATCAAAGTGATTGTTAAAGCAACCAAACTGTGTCAGAAATGTTCCCAAATTACTGGGTAAGGCTTTTATCGGCTCATCATCTGATCCAATAATTTTAATTGTGGCATTTCATTCGGCATGTCGCCGCACGACTTCTATGATACTCAAAGTCTCACATATATAATTTGAAAGGGGGGGGTCTGGGGGGGCGGCGCCCCCTCAGCAGGTAGCTTTTGCTACTTGTTTGGATCTAAAATGCGCTTGAATGAAGAAAACCTGACCAACTCAGAGAGAGGCATCGAGGGGCCCATTTGAAACGAGAAAATCACACTTTTGACCCATGAGTGGGCACAGGGGGGTCACGGCGTAGCCGGTTTTGAGGCGCCGCGCCCGGAGCTAAGAATTCGCTTCTGATCGAACTCAAAATAAGTGTTCCAAAGTTGAAGAGGCAAATTTATCTCACAACTTGATGAGAAATAATGTATAATAGTTGTTTTAGCCCTTGAGAACTATACTTGGCCCTTTACAATGTTACCTCACATACTATTTCTCGAGCTTGGAACGAAATTGGTGTATATATTTTATCTTGCACTCAAGTGATCCCCCTACCCTCACCCATGGGTCAAAAGTGTGATTTTCTCGTTTCAAATGGGCCCCTAGATGCCTCTCTCTGAGTTGGTCAGGTTTTCTTCATTCAAGCGCATTTTAGATCCAAAAAACGCATTTGCGCAGATCAGGCGTTTTTCCGCCCATTTAAACCAATGTAATTTTGCCCCTTCGTTTTGATCCCTTTGAGCATCAGCTAAAAAAGCTTCAAATTGGCTCAAATTGTATACAGCCTATTATTTTCATGGGTATCATCGATTGCCACCCGGACCTCGTCGATTTTCCGACATGACGAAAATAAGCCGCACCCTAAGGTATACCCCTAAAGGATTTTTTTGAACTAAAACAGTTGATATGCGAGACAAATGTCAGCAAAATAATAAGTATTTTGCACGCAATCGACAAGGGGAGGCTGAGAAGTGGCCACCTCCGATTTTGAAGTAGTTTGTAGAAATTAGCAGATCACGGAAAGCTGATTGACTGATGCTTCCCAGTTTTTGTCACTAGGCCCCTAAAATTCCCTAACGATCTAAATGATTGTTCACGAGAGGTAGAGTGATTGTTAGCCCGACATGTTTCCTTCAGTGGCAGTGCATTGGTTCAATATTCGCCTTGCAGCCAAGCGGTCCCATTTTTGAGTCCCCTGGCAGGTATTGGTTTCAAAGAACATGTACTGCATACAGGTAGACTTACTTGCGCATAGGTTTTACAACATGTGAACGCATTTTGTTGGCTCGCACTCTGGCACCCTGAGCGCAACTGATCTGTCTGTTGTAAAATCTACGCACATGTGAGACTATTTGACCGTAATATACGTTTTTTGAACTATTGTACGTCGGGGTCTCTGAAAATTGTATAAATTGGTTTTAAAAATTAAATGTATTGAGTCCCTGGGGCAAATGTTTTCACAAGATGAAAACGGAGATGCTCACAAGTCATAAATTCAAAATCTGGATATTCGCTCTGATCTAATCAATAAGAAATACACGGACAGCAAAAAAGATTCACTTTTCTGAAGTGAGTATTAACTTGAAGTAAAAGATGCATTAGTTTTAGTGTTTTTAAAGCTGTTTCCGATATCCTCTGAAATGAGAGAGAGAGAGCAATAAGATTGAGAAGAAATATACTCACAGGATCAGAGACCATGAAACCAACTGTCGTAGGTGAAATGGTTGTGGTAATCATTTCAAAACCATTGCATATGCCCATTAGCACACCAGCAAAATTAGGTGTTAAGTCAAGATGATTTATGTTGAAGCCGATGAAGATAAAAATAAAGCATGTTGCAGCTGTCACCATCAAAGCCATTACAATTGTTGGATTATTACCAACACAAGTCATAATTATGAAAATTAAAGGCCCTCCAGACAATGCTGAACAAATGAAACACACAATTATGATCAATAGCAAAAACAGGAGGAAAATTTATACATGCAACTACATCATCAGCTTTATGGAAAAGTGACCTCATTCTTTTCAAAATCAAACCAAATAATGCATATTGGAGATTCATTCAGAACCATTTATACGGTTAAGTATTTTTTTAAACCCACAATTCCAATTTCATTTAATTTTTTTTTTCATTTACCTAACTCGAAATTGGACCACGTCAAACAAAAAGGAACCAAGCCACATTAGCTATTGTTAATTTTAATTAGGAAATTTAATTTTTAATGTGAAAACGGTTGTGCGGATTTTTGTGCAAATTGCAATGAATTTTCTGCATAGTACGAAGCAAATTTTTTAAAATTTTCAAAGGAATCCGCACAAACGTTCTCTTGTAAAAAATTAAATTGCCCGTTTAAAGTTGGCAATAGCTGATGTGACTTGGTTTCTTTCTGCTAAGCACGGCACAGTTCTGAATCGATTCGTGAAAGTAGCGATATTCCACCATTAGATGCCAGCTTTAGGTGTTGATTTAAATTTTGCCTCAGAGCAATTTTTCTTGCGATTGGAAGTGATATGGAAATACATAAAAATTCTCAGAGTTTAGAAAAGCCCTGTTTTTGACCCCTTAAAATGGCTGACGGCAGAAGGCGCCCAATTTGTTCAGCAAAATTAGCTATTATCTACTACTTGATGCCTGCTGTAAGTGATAAGCTAAATTGACTGAGAATAAAAAATCAGTCCACATACTCGTAAATACTTTTTACACACCTTCAAGTGACGGAAGTTTTCCTTAAATTATTTTTTGTTTCTATTGATAAAATAATTCTGTGATAAATTTTTCGTACATTAAGTATCCTCTGTTTTGAATCTGTTAATTTGAGGATTTTTAAAAATACACCTGAAGAGGATTATATAATGACAGTAAAACAACAAACAGTACATTCAAAACTTTGAAAAGTGATGGATCAAAATGGCGATTAATGAAATCAGCCATATTTAGTCTTGAGTGAGTAGTATTATTATTACGTTCTTGTCGTAACTTTAACTCTACAACTGCAATTTTTCTGAGGCTCTGATAGCACAAACTCCAAATACTGATCAAAATGCAAATGAGGTTAAAGTCTAGCAATCTTAGGTGAAAAAAACTTGAATTTAAAGTGCTTGTGAGCAGAAAAAAATTGCAATCCAATAGTTCTTTCTTTGTCTATTACACTTTCAACCAACTTTCAGGCCAAACAAACACCTTCTAATATTCTCAGAATTTTCCAATTACCATCCCACGAAAGTGTGTTAAGGGATAAATACTGATGTCCCTGGACAATTTAGCTCATCTCTTTCAGCAGGCACCTAATATCAGAAAAAACACATGTTTCGCTGATCAAGTTGGGGGCATTCCACTTTCGGCTTACATTAGGGGCCATAAACGGCCAAAAAGGCTTTCCGAAATTCTGAGAATTTTTCTCATACCATCTTGTAAAAAAATATTTAAAAAAAACATGTTGAAGAACTAACATGCTCCTGAGCTATTTAAATTATCACTAAAAGCAAGCATCTCATGGCAGCAAATCACTATTTTTATAAATCAAGGCTTTCGGCAAACTTTAGCAACTATAGGGCCCTCCAAAAATTTGAGAATTTTTTTGCCATGCTCACAAGAAAGTTGTAAAAAAAAAGTGCACTAGGGCACAGAGTATATTTCATCAGTATCAGGAGCACTTAAGGGACGATTCAAAATCCCAAAAGAAAAATTTCTAGGAATGGAATGAAGGTACACAAATTCCTTAAAAAAGGCTCTCAGGCACCACTGAACATAATTCGTCTTTACAAACCATTTTTTGTCTTATGCTATTTCTCAGAAACCACCAATTCAGGGAATGAGACTAAAATATTTTGTTAAAGTCGAAAAAAGAATCATCCTGACATTGCAGTTACAGTCAGAGGTTGACAAGCATCTAAGTAATGAGATAAAAGAGCATCCACTTTACACTTAGATACAGTCTTAATTTTGTCCAAAGTTGATGGTCTTTACAGCCTTGATCTGGATTTTACCCCACTGCTCTGATGCAATCATTACCATGTTATTTTTCTTATTTACATATTTTAATGTTTTCATTGATGAGTGGTGTCTAATAGGTTTTAAAAGGAGAAATAAACAAACAAAAAATTACCAATAGCAGTCCAGAGTTTTCTTGAAACAGTCTTGGTTAAAATTTCTTTGCTAATAAGCACATCTCCCATCCAACACAGAGGAAAAGTCAAGACCCACATGGAAAGGAATGGTAAAGCTGATAAGAGACCATTCTGAAAAAACATACATATCAAAGTTGAAAAGCCTACAAGTCAAAGGTAAAAATCAAGAATAGACAGAACTATTGATTCATGGATTTAATGAACTTGACTGATTGAATTTAATTATTATAATACATATATTTTCTCATCAAAATATCACATAAAACAAAATGTATGCAACAAAAACTATTGAAAGTAATACCTGACTTCTTGTCTGCAACTTGAGTTCTTCTTGTGAGCAGGAAATTCAAAGTTTTCGTAACCAGTGATACAAGAAAATATTGATGTCTTGGTTTCGAGTTAATTTCAGAAATAAAGTTCTATGTGAAATTTTGAAGAGGCAAAATGCATAAAAATGCTTAAATTTTTGCCTTGTCTAGTGGTCCATTAATTCTGTTTATCCTTTAGGAATACGTTATATTTACTCTAGAGAATTAAATACAGTTCACTAAGTTTTCAATTGGCATGGGAGATAAGCTCAAATTGATCTATTTTTGCAGAACTAATAAATCCAGTTCAATCATTCCATTAAATTAATATAAAGTTTAATTTCATATTATACAAAAAAAAGAAGAAAAAAAAAAAAAAAATGTTTCCTCTATCAACTCATTCTTCAGAAGCCGAACCTATTTATATATCACTTTATAAAACAGTGGAATTGATGATACACACCTCCTGAATATTGAAACCTAAAGCTGCACTGATGAATGAAGGTAATTGTGTAGTCAAAATGCCAAAGGCCCATCCATTTCCTAAGTGAGCGCAGATTAACGCCCAAACAGGTAGTGACGTAAAAATTGCTTTCCACGGAGTTTCCAAATTCTGAAAAAGATTGATGAATTGCTGTGATTGAAGCAATGCCAATATCAGGTTTCAAAATATTATAAAAGAACCTTTAAGACAGGCAATTAAAAAATAAATAAAAAAAAGAGCTGGGATAGTTTTCTTTGACTTATCCATCCCATTTCTCATGGTTTTATCTTTCTTTCTTTTTTATTTTCATGTTAGAATAGGTGCACTGGTAGAGAGGAGGTAGGGTGGACAATCAAGTGCTGTAATTTTCTCTCAGAATAATTGTATTAATCTCATGAAATGTTAATTGTTTTTTTTGGAAAGGTGTTATTTTAAAATATGTAATTTGGTAACCACCGAGATGCTTGATGGCATGTTACAGTGAATTTAGGATTAATGAGATTAATTGTTGAACAGCGCAGATGAAAATTTATAAAAAAAAGAAAGAAAAAAAGTAGGGAAGTGTTTAAGGTTAATTTAAACCAATCATTTTTATTTATTTATTTTTTTTTAAAAAAAATTATGCGTAGTGGGAAATTAAAATAAATTTGCCAATTTTTAAAAAATATCCTCTGTATTACTCATTTAATTAAGGATAACTGCCGTGAGACCTCAATGCTCCTTTAAAGGACCACGCACACTCTTTATGGGAATGAATGCCCTGTTTGATTTTAAATTTTTTTTATTGCATTAAACTTATCTATGGATGCTGATCCTAAGTCATCTTTGTCAAACTTTCTATAAGACATCATTTTCGCAAAATCTGCTGTGGAAGTTTCAATATTTCCTTGAATAGATGAAGGCAGCGCAGCGATGAAGAGTCAAAAAGATGTCTCTATCTTTCAGCACCAGCTGAAAACGAGATGAAATCAGGAAAACCTCAGCGTATTTAGGTACCAGTATAATGCCGAGCAGTAGTCTTATAAGTTCCTTCTTTCTCTCTCCCACTCTCTTCCTTCCCACTCACCAGCTGGAGTTTCCCTTGTTAAATTGTGGCGCTGCTTTCATCTATTCAAGGAAACATTGAAACTTCCATAGCGGATGGTGCAAAAACGTAGAAAGTTGGCAAAATGATGACTCTTGATCGGGATCCATAGATGAGTTTAATGCAATAATAAAATTGAAAATCGAAAACAGCACACATTGCCAAAAGGAGTGTGCGGGGCTCTTTAAAATTTTTAAGTGAGGAATATTAATTACTGAATGTGCTCCTCCTTTTTATAGAGTAATTTATGTTATAATTTGGGCATGATTGACAATAATTTTTAGAAAGATAGATAGATGGATTTACAGGGTGTCTCCTGGTGCCCTGCCATTCAAATTCCTTGCTTTTTAGTGCCTTTTCCTTACTTTTTCCTTACTTTCCCGAGAATTCCTTTTTTGGCAATCCTCAAAAATCCTTGCTTTTTCCTTACCGTTTCCTAACTTTTTCCTCACCTTACACGCATTTTTAACTATATTCGGATTGGAAAAGTGGAATGATGGAATGACGAAGGAATAAATTGAAAAACAGGAGGATTCCAACCGGGATGTTGATAAATGGATTATGTTAGAAAATCGCATACAGCCAATGCTACTTTCTAGAGTTTGTCACAAAAATCTTGAATTTCCGTACGTTTTCACCGAAAATTCTACCTTTTCCATACTTCCGTACCAACCTTCCAAAATCCGTGCTTTTTCGGTGTATCCTTACTTTTTCGGTACAGTAGCCACCCTCATTTACTTGCTGGAGGAGAAAGCCCAAAACAGGGAAACTCAAAGACGTTTATTGTGATCGGTGCAGGTTATAGGTTACACCTGTGGAAACTCTGTTCTCCTACGACGGTACAACAGAGCACTTGCAAAAAAAACTTTTACAAACCTTTGAATCATCAACGTCGTCTCCTAACGAGTTGATAATGAAATCTCGTTCTTTCTTAGATATTTTGGGATGTGTGGCAGGACTATCAGCACCATAAAAATGCCAAAATAGATTCCACAAGAATCCTAAAAGCCCGGCAGAGTAAAACACAGATGGCCAACCGAAACTGCTACCAGCAAGGTATCCAGCCATTGGCATTGCTAGGCAAAGGCCAAGAGTTGCACCTTAAGTTGGAGGGTTAAAGATTAAAATTAGTATTAGGTAAAAGGTACACTAAAAGGACCAAACAGGGTACTACAGTACATGTTTCCTCATCAAAAACTCACTGAAGATGTTGATAGCTTTCAAAATTAGGTCATGAGTGAGAGGTAAATGTTAGAAGTTTACGAAGGTAAACAGTAAATTCAAGCTGCCCCCTGGGGAAAAACCATGATCAACAAGGGTAAAGTTAGGCATTGAAACCAACAAACATGTTATGCAAAAAACTAGAGCTTGGTTTTACACAAGTTTCCTTCCTCTTTCAATACAAGGTGCCTTAAATCTTGTCAAAAAAGATAGTGTGTACACAGGAAAATGTTTTCACCCTGAAACATATCGACGGTGTAAGTCGGCAATCACATAACTCGGTTTGCGACGTCGCAGACTTCCTGTTATACTTTATTTTTTAAACGGAAATCTACTCAACGGCAATTCTTTAAAACTGCGGTGATTTTTCTTCTTTGTGTGAAGGAAATTCTGCAAAAACTTCAAGGAATTATGTCAAATTGTTCTCTTTTAAAAAAATAACATAGAGGCAGAGATTCTTAGACACCGCAAACGAGTTATGTGATTGCCGATTTACACCGTCGATATGCTGATGTTAGTTTGGTGCTCAATCTGACTTGAATAGACTCTACTTAGTTTTTCTGTATTCATCAAGAGTAAATCGACATCGGCAAAAACTGTTCTTTGCTCACTTAAAGGTTGAATTTGGAAAGATTTAATGTATTCATCGAAATCTATGTAAAATTTTGATAAGAAACATGTATCGTAATTCTTGACTCCGTACCCTGTTCAGTGGTCTATTGGATCATGAGACAGAGAAATAAGATTAGAACAGTTTTTGAGCCACGATCTGCTGAAAAATTTAGTCTCAAAAAAATGGGGACCATTAACCAGTTAAAAAAAGGATGCTAATTTTATAATTTTTACGTTCATGGATGTTTTGTTTTCTTTTTCTTATCGTTGATGCTGTTGCTTGCATTTTTCTTTTTTATTTCAACCTTTTTGAGTTATGTTGACTCTCTCATTGAGTAAATATCATAGATAAGTGAGTGAAAATTCAACAAGATCTGAAGGAATTTGGGAAACTAACTCTTTTGCGGGGTAGCAGTTTTCATGACACAAACACACCACGTGGAGAGCGAATAAAGAAGGAGTATTCTTCCTTTTCAGATAAAGAATACTTATTCAGATAAAGAATACTTATTCAGATAAAGAATACTTATTCAGATAAAGAATACTTATTCAGGTATAGAATTATTTTTGTAAAATCTGCAGTTGATAATGATAAAAGAAGAAGAAAATAATTATTTTTACGTAATTAAAGCAGATGGCTAACCATTCACAGAGAATCCAACGAATCGATTCCTCTCATTCGGAGGAGACCATTTGGCTGCTAGAGTGTAACAAATTGGCGTCAAGAATCCCTGAAACATAATTGACAGTATGTTACTGGCAAAATAAAATATGTTGGAGGGTAATTTGATACAAGGTGAGGCAAATGTCTTGTAAGGACCGAATATTTCTTAATGGTTGTGAATGGATAGGGGGCTGACATTTTAGCCTGCCTTTAGTTGCAATTTTTCATTTCTAAAGGATATCCCTTCTTAGAATACATTGTTGGAGATAATTTAACAAGAATAAGAAATTTGCCGTCATACCAGTCACTGTTCCAAAATGGTAGCCATTCATGATTTTTAGGATTTCAACTTTCTCAGACAACCATTTTGAATTCATGATACATAGATATAAATGCCAAATTCTCCGAAAAAGCTTCTATTTTATAATATTATCCTTTTGATGAAACTACAACGTATGAGGATTGCTCTTTTATTCTTTTTGCTCCTTTTGGGGGAGGACCAATTGTAAACTTTTTTGACATCTTTAAGAGAAATACATGAATGGGAAATGGATGAAAAAAGTGACAATTTTTTAAATCAGAATATGACTTTCTTGTCCAAAGCCAGTTTCAAATGATGACATGGGAAAGTTAAACAAATCTTTGACACATCACTGTTGCGATGAAGGGTAAATTAGAGGCTTGGAGAACAAGGCGCGTAAGTACAGTTTTTGCGATTTCGAGAAATGTGGATTTGAAGTTTCGAAATTACATGGACCCTCATGGCGGAAAGAAAGTTCAAACTGAGTTTTTGATGCTTAAAAATTAGAATTTGGGAGTGAATTTTTCACAGAATATGCATTAAGATTAGCTTTACTTGAAATCATTCATACCTCAATTTTTCCAAAAACTGCACTTGGGCGCCTTGACCTCCAAGCCCCTCAATTAAGATACCAAAACATAGTAACTGAGGGACATGATTGAATTTATGAACTTAACTGGATCATAGCAAAGAGAAAAATATTAAAATTCAGAAATACCAATTTACTTGATTCAATCCTAGCAAAATTCGTAGACCACAGAGTGCTTTCCATCCGCCGATTGGAATGACAAAAGGAGTGATCAAACACAAGATACTGCCCTCGAATAAGGACAGCCCAAGCAGCAATTTGGAAGAATATCTTAGTCCGAGCTGACCTGCAAAAGGCAGCATGAGAAAATAACCCACATAAAAAGAACTCAGAACAGTTCCTTTTTCAGGTTCAGTCCAATTGTACACCTGTCAAAACAGAATAAAAACATGGATTAAAGAACAAACTTCTACTCTTCACATAGATAAAATTTTGATGAATTATGATGTATATTTCTGGAAAAATTATACTTTAAAGTTATTATTTTAGTTGTTAAGATAGTTTGTTGGGAGATACCCTCACTTACTATTATAAAGTTTTTTCAAAGCCAAAAAAAATGACTTCAAAATTACGATTCAAATTTTAGAAGAGTAACTTTACAAGCTGGTTTCAGCTTTTACAAGCTGAGAAATGATAAAAAAGGAAAAGTCTCTATCTTTTATGGGACAATTCAGGTGTATTTTTTGGTGTAAAGCACCGATTATTTCTATCCATTTTTCAAGAAGGGTCGAAAATCTTTTGTGAGGATCTTAACAATAATTTATGCGGCCACTTTCATTTCTCAAATGAATGAAGTTCTAACTCGAGGTTTTTTTCTGGATGAGCTACTGGGACTATGTGCACCTATGTGTGAGGCATTATCTTGATGCACTAAACATACATAATCCTCTTAATGTCGAGTGGTTTCAAGCAGATGAGTTTTTGTGTTTTGACCAGAGAATGTTGATATGTTGCTGAAAAGTAATGACTGAGAGGCAGAGTCAGGTGAGCGGCTCCCTTTATTATTTAAGGGCAGGTATATTGGCTTATTCAGAGGGCCCAAGCTCACCCTCAGACAATAGATCGAGTCACTCACCTAATTCTGCCCCTCAGCCACAACTTTTCATGTTATAGAGTATAAAAGATTACAGATTTTGAATCTTGATTTTGCATTTTTTTTTCTCTCTCTCTCTCGAAAAACTATCTGAAAATAAAAAAAATGGAACCCTTAACAAAAGATTTTTACAGCATTTAAACAAGCGTAATTTTGAACGGAACAAACTCTAAAAGTGCTTATTTCAAGGCTGATGGGTTACTCTTTAGTGCTATGCAGGTTGAATTTTGCTGGAGGTTAATGTTTGTTTGTACGGGCACCAGTCGCATTGTTTTCCGAACGACCTAGGTGCATATAGGGTCATTCCATATAGAACCTACCAGCCATGCAACCGCCTGACTCGGATTTTGATGATAAATTTTTTTCTTGATCAGACCACCAAATAATGAACTTCTGCAAAATATTAGGTCTCAAATCGAAAAACTCACTGAGATATGAATTTTGGAAGTTTTAAGAATTTTCAAGAAAGAGACGTTTCGAACTTCCGAGAAAGAGAGGGTCATTTTCCCCAAAAAAATTCATCCCGCGCCCATTTTTCGTCGGATTGAAGTGAAAATTTGACACAATGTCCATGAAAGTATGTAAATTTGAGAATAAAATGCATAAAATGTTCGACTTTACTCATTGATGTGCTGCGGTTGATTGTTCGTTGTGATTTTGTCTGATTTTAGCGATAAAACCTTCCCCTCTTCAAATGCCCATAACTTTTGAGCTGCAAGTTATTTTTTGCTCCAATTTTTTTTAAAATGCTCCTAAAAGTATTAGAAAGACGCCTTAAGAACAATTCTGATGGCGTTTTGGGCTTTAGTATCTTTTTTTTTCACTTTTGTCCGAAAAAGGCCTAAAAAACTGGAAATAACACCAAAATTGTTCCGATAATCGACCATTACCCTGAAAAGTCAACTCAAAAATCGCTCAATTTTTGCCTGAATGGTCCTTACTGTGTGTACAATATGTTTGAAAAATAAAATCAATGGTATTTCGGGTTTATATATCTTTAACTTCGAGTTTTTACCGAAAAAAGGCCAGCAAAACTGAAAAACACTGAAATTACACAAATTATCGGCTCTAACGTTGGAGTAGCAACTCAAATATTGCTCACATTTATACTGAATGGTTCTCACTGCATGTGAAATACGTCTGGGGAATAAAAGTGATGGTATGTTGGGTTTCCATAACCCTTTTCCCAACATTTTTACTCAAGAGAGGCTCGCTCAACTGAAAAAAGCGCTAGGAAAATCTCATTAACCGACCGTTACATTGAAAAAACAATTGATT